GTTGAGGGAAGCATTGAGAAGAAGGCACATCCCTTCTTATTATGGTGGGGAGCTTATGAATAAGTTCCAATAAAGAAACATGATTGTGGAGGAATATAGGTAGGAAATGGAGCTTTGCATGATGAAGGTTGGGATGAGGGAGGAAGAAATTACCATTATTGATGGATTTTTAAGTGGTTTAAAGGAAAAGGTTGAATTTTGCTTCAAGGTAAAGCTCTTACCTTATAGGGGTCTCAATGACTTGGTCTAATTTTGCATCAAGGTACAACCACAAATTTTAAGGAAAACTTATTTCAAGAAGGATTCCTCTACATTTACACCTTATCATAAGAAAGATCACAAAAAGAAGGGGTATTTTTCCAAGAATTACACCAAGATAGAACCTTCCAACAAAAAGAAAAGAAGCCCTATAAAAAAACCCTTAACACTAGTTTTAAGGCTAGTAGCATCAAGTGCTATAAGTGCTTGGGGAGAGGCAACATTGCCTCTCGATGCCCCACAAAGAAGACCACGATCTTAAGGGGTAAAGATATATATAGTAGTCAAGAAAAGATCACATCTTTCTCCTCCATCTCTAGTAATAGTGAGGAAGAACATAGGATAGACTATAATAAAGAAGGGGCTTATCCATGTGATGGTGACCTCATAATGGTCATGAGGCCTCTTGAAAGCCAACCTAGTGAGGATCATCTATCTCTAAGAGAGAATATCTTCCATACAAGATGTAAAATTTCTAAAAAGACTTGTTCTCTCATTATAGATAGTAGATCTTGTTACAATTGTTGTAGTACAAGGCTGGTAGACAAGTTAAACCTTACTACCTTTCCACATCCCAAATCTTATTAACTTCATTGCCTCAATTAGGCTAGGGATATGGTAGTTTACCAACAAGTCAAAATCAAGTTTTATATAGGGAACTATGATGATGAATTTTTATGTGACATAGTGTTAATGGAAGCTTATCATATTTTATTAGGGAAACCTTGCCAATTTGACAAGAAGGTCAAAGCACAATGGTCTAACTAATGAGATATCATTCACCCACAAGGAAAATAAATTCGTACTTCATCTTTTGTTACCTTCTTAAGTTGTGGATGATTAAGTACAAATGAAAAACAAAAGATAAGAAGAGGAAATAAAAAAGAAAAAAGAAAAAAAACCCTAAGGAGTAAAAATGGAAAAGAGAAGATAAGAGAGAAATTTGTCCCCTCTCTAGAAATTGTTTAAAAGGAGAATATTTTAGCCACAAAAATGAAATAAAAAGAACTCTTATCCTAGAATAATCTCCATACTTTCTCTTATGTAAAGGGATACTCAGTTGCACTACCATATCACTTGGAAATGAAACTCTACCAAATGGGGCAAAGAGTTTTTCAAAAAAATTTAATGATGTTGCGGAGAAAAGATAGACATTTGAATGAGGCTAAATAATGTATATCAAAAACTCACACGTTTGCAAGCACGTGAAGTAATATCTACAATAGACGAAGGGTTAGCAAGAGTAATCATTGAACATAGAAAGTTTTTATACAAATATAAAATCACCTTTGCAAGTTCTCAAAAGGAATTAAGAAAAAGTAAGCATAAGAAAAGAAATTATAAATCTAAAACAAAGTTCTCATAGGCAAACATAAACAAAAGAAAAATATAAACTAATCTACTAAGCACCGATGTCATACTAATTAGAAAAGTCCCATCAAAGCATAAAATCGAAGTCTAAGCTTCACCTCCTATCGGCTAAAACTCATTTACTTGATCTACACCTGAAAATGACATTTAACCCAAGCAATAAAAATAATATCTAAACAACACAACACACACAAGTCAATCATAATAAAATCCTAAGTTCACACACCATCGCATCATAAGAAACATAGGACTCATGATCTTAATTATATATGCTTGTGATACCAATCACTTTGCATAAGGTGCATGAGCATGAAGTAATTGAGGATCACATTGACACAAACAAAATGTCACCACACAATGGGCACTTACCACATGGTGCACTTTCACTATAACAAATTCTATTAGGAGCTAGTCGGTGATCACAATTGACCATGATTGTCTCCTATTCCACGTTAATGGTTTCCCACCATAACACTCCCAAAATCATAGAGACCTTCCCATTAAGACTCGCAACCTGGCTCCAAACAAATTGTGCATAAATTCATGGACTCCAAATGCATAACGCAAACACATGAAAATGCACATTGTGCCATCAAATCATAACACTTTATCAAGTTGCTAGCCAATCCTAGACTTTCACCTTATCATTCCTCTATGTATGGACTTTTCAAAGAACCAAGATCACCTTGGAGTCCACTACCAATCTACCACCTGGACTTTACTCGTAATGGGTCAACATCTCATACGCATATATCTCATATATCTCAAATGCAACAATCTCTTATAACTTCTTATTTTTTAATAATTATCATTTTTATCACTTCTCTATAATTAGACAATTATCATAAATCCTTCTCACACTTTATGTTCTTTAATTATCTTCACAAGTTTTTCAATTCTTCCACAATATTAAGCTTTACACATGAAACTCACAAGTTTTTGACCTTGCATTCGATGAGATACTTCTTGTGCCCAACATTAAATGGTTAGGGAACTCTCTTTCGTGCTGTTGCCATATGCGGTGTCTCCCCTACTCAACGTAGAGAGGTTAGAACTTCTCTAGTACATTTTCGCGTAGCAATGTTGAACCTACACCCAATGAAGATTGTTCATAAAAATCAACATCAAATGGTGCTCGATGAGACAACACTCATACCCAACACTAAGAAGACATTACCTCTATGTGGCTCTTTCCCAACATGACACACTCCACACCTAGCATCGAAAAGGCAAAACCTCTTTACCCTCATCACATCCAACACCTTGAAGTTACGGTCAATATCATCACAAAACTTGCACTTCACAAAAATGTGATCCAGGATTCTACGACCCCTTTAATCCATCTTTAACAATTATTACCTCGAATTAATCTATAATCACTCTTATTTCACTCATAGAACTGAAAGAGGCTTAAAGATTGTTTCATCTATCATATTCCTCATATATGCCTGCCCACAAGGAGAGACAATCCCACTCTTCCTCTTAACTCAATACGGTGAAAGAAAATTTCAATAATCTAGAATTATTTTGCACACTCCTGAAAGCTACATGTTATCTTAGAGCTTCAAAATGACTTAACTTTTCCTATTTTCTCTGTTAATAAGCTAGACTCCAAGTTAGGTTTATAAAGTCCAAATTCAAGGAGTAACCTACGTACTAAACAAACATCTGTCTTTATTTATTTTATTTTTAAAAAAAATATCATTAGTTATATTGTAAGCTTAATTAATAAATTAATTAATTATATAATACAAATATTATTTAAACAATTTTATTTTATTTATATTTGAAAAAGAGGATGCTACAATAATTCTAGTTATTATTGTTTTAATTGTAATTATTTTTATTTTAATCCTTTTAATTTTAGACATCTTCTCAAATTTTTGTTATGTTTGCTTTTGGTCTTTTTCCATTTTTTAGTTTTTATAATTATAATTTTTTTTTCTGGTAGATTTAATGACCAATACGACAGTAACAAATGAAAAAAGAAGCTTTTACATAGGAAAAATTAAAAAAAAAATAATCCCTAGACTATAAGAACTAGCATGTTCAATATTAAAACATTTTTCAAAATTCAACTATATTCTTAACGTAATTTAATAATATAATAATCTAAAACAGATCTAACAAGTTCTCTCAAGATGTTTTTTTAATCATCTGAACCTGTACTTGTATATAAGAGAATAAAGTTATATACATCTAATATATATAATAAATTTAATAATTAATTATCTTAAAAATTTCACCAAGACTAATTTTTAATTAGTTAATGATCTAAAATGTTTAACAAGATATATTCATTAAATTCTATATATAAATCAAACACATACCACAATGATCCTTAACAAAACTATCCGAAAAAAAGAGTTATTTTTAAGCTTAATAATCTCATAATACCTCAAGATATTCGTATTCCTAATTTAAAATCTTTTAAAAGGCCAAGAAACCCAAGTGCAACGGGTTGTTGATATAGCAAGAAACCATTTAGAGAAGCTAGCTACAATGCAACATATCATCTTTTTTTTTTTTTTATGCCAAATAGTAATTTTAAATTAATTTAAACATCTTTGTTTCAAAATACTCAAATGAATTCCATTACATTAACTTTTATCCAACTCATATCTACATTACTTTACTTCCCTGATTAAGAAATACACATAAGAGAGTTACAAAGCTCAATCCATTATCTCCATGCAATCTCCCACCCTAAAAAAAATAACTTTTATAATTAATTATATCTTAACTTTAAAGTAAAGCAACCCTAATTAATACATATAGAAAGAGTCAATGCCCAAAAAATACTTTCCATTCTTTCATCAATCCATCAACCTAATAGGAAAAAGAGCTTGGACACGTTATATTTTTGTTCAATGATAATTACCCATTGAACTAATTCTTTTTGTCTGTAATTAAATGAATGATTAAACTCACTAATCAACATATACTCCATACATTAATTAATTGATAAAGAAGACACTTTCCTTTGCTAAATATTCTAGTTTAGATTTTTAGCTTCCTTACTAATCATAAGAAAAATATAAAGAAGATACATTCCATATGTCAATTTAAGAACCACTCCTTAAATTGTGGTTATTTTTCTTTAAAAAAAAAATTGCACTACCAGATACACTAAAAAAAATTATCATGTAAATATATTGAATATAATAATTTAAAATTCGTGCATTTTTAGACTAAAATTACTATGTTCTATGAAAAGGTCATAAAAAATAAACTACATCACCATTTTTTTTTAATTTTAAGCATAAAAATATCTCAAACATCATGGTAATCAACACATTTTTCTCACAAAAGAAATAGCCCTCAACTGATACATGTAAACTACATGTAAACTTGAAGTTAATTTGTTTAGGAGATGAAATTAATACTACTATCATACAATATTATTATAACCTAGATATAAAGAATCAAAAATGGAAACCAGAACTAGAAAGAAGAAAAACACCTTCACACACTTGAGCATTCCCCAAAACGAACAATAAATGTACATATTGAAATAGAAAACAACATTGTCACAGTTGGAGCTGTTATACAATTGTTGTTATAATTCATTCATGCTTCTTTATAATTGTGTTTTCCCTTAGCTTTCACACATTGCTTCACAAACTGTTTCAAACCCTTCTTTGGGCTATTAATTCTCTTCTCTTCTACTTTCGTCCTCTTTGCTTCCCACTCTTCCTCCACCTGCAAACAAACCTTTCATATACAACACATTAATTAGACCCTATTGGACTAGAATATATCATACTCATTTCATACCCTCTTAAATTAATGCATTAACCCCAAATGAAAAAGAAAGATATTAAAAAAAAGTAAAAATAAAATACAAAAATTAAGATGAGTTATATTATAAGATCAAACGGTGAATAGCTTGCCACGTGGGGGTACCTTTAGCATCTGATCCTCCACTTTATTGAGTCTCTCTATCATCGTTCCTTTGACTTCGGTCTCCATCATCACGTTTTCAATCGGACGGCAGTGCTTCTCTAAGCTCTTTGGGGAGAAATCAATGGATGACACGTGTCCATCACTTCCACTTGTGGGAGTGGATGCACACGAGCTCTTTGGAGATCGATTGTACCCTCTAATTTCCTCCAATTGCCTCAACTAAAAGAATAAAATATGAAAATCATAAAAATTAAAAATTAAAAACTATTTCTTTCAAAAGACCATGGCCCAATGTGAACTTGGGCATAGTTCACTTTTTAGTCCATTTTCCAACCCTTATTCTTTAGCTCATTAGAAAAACACCCTTGGTTTTTAATCTCATAATAAATTTCCCATAGTTGTTATCATGTGAATAACAAGAATTTAGTATGTAAGTTCTTCTCAAATCTTTTGAGAAAAGAAAAAAAGAAGTTGTTTAAGTATTGAGGAGCCAGAATTTTTTGAAAATAAATAAGTAAGAAATTCTTCCAGAATTTATTGAAAGTAACACTAATTTTTTTGTTTTTAATTTTAATAAATAATTTTTTTTTGATATCAGGTACACAAAAACCATATATAAATTATAGTTCAACTAAGAAGCAACAACCAAGTGCTTAACCAGTTATAAATTATAAATAAGAGATAAACATCCAATCATCTTACATGCACTAGTAACTATTACATGCTTATCTCCAAATCATCTTATGATTTCAGAAAATCTGAAATCAAAATGCCAAAATTGCCCAAGGACTTAAATTTGGTAGTAAACCAAAATTTTACAAATTAATTCAGTTTGAATCATAATAATTTTGGAATTAATTACACGAGATTTTTCTACTTTCCACTAGCCAACTCTCTAATTATAAATTTTTTTTTCAAAAAAAAATACCTTTTCTCTCTAAATTCACCCTTTAGAGACTTTCCCCCTCCCTTTTCCTTGCTTGTGAGTTATAAGAAGTTCACTTTCAACATCTAGTATAATATAACTAAAGGAATAGAAAGTCTATCAACAGACTCTCCCAAACCTTTTTCTCCAAAATAAATAAATAACTCTCTCTTGTTGTTGATTAAAATTAAAATTTATGTAAATCTTATTAGTTTAATTCACATAAATTTTAACTAATAAGCAACATATGGTTACTCCCATCAAAGAAGAATTGGCAAACTTACCATATTATCCAAACGGTCAATCCTAGAAAGCATTGGTTCCTCAGTGATGGTAGCCATTTTCTGTCACTTTCCCGGGAAACAAACAGAAATCCTTGGTGTAACCCTCTATGATTCAAGGTACAACTTTCTAGTTTGGATTTTCATATATATATATAGAAAGGAAGAAGAATGGATATGGGAGAATGATTGCATGGTGCCACGCGTCCAACTCTTACTGTGGGGCTGCTAGCTCCTATGACGCATCTGCTGCCACGTGTAATGATGACGAGAATGATCCCTTGGCTTCACTCCGCGGACACGTAACGGAGGCGCATGCAGTGCATGAAATTGCTGCAGGACACGTGTCATTTCACGTCGTTCTATGTTACCATTCCCATGAATATGATCGATGTTTCTGGGAGATTCAAGATCATAGATATCTCTCAACATTTTCAGCTTAATTTGTTTCTTGTGTGCTTCAAATAGACAACTTTTTCGTCGTGTTTAAAAAGTTAATACTACCAATAATATGATATATAATTTGTTTGGAGGAGAATGATTAATTTGTGTCGTTTACCATCTATGATAAAATAACTTGATAAGTTTAAAATTATTGAGTATATGTAGATTTTAATTAATTGGCATAAAATTATTTTTTAATTTGATTACGTAATGCTTTTAAATATAAATATTGTATATATAATTATATTAAATAATTAAAAAAAATTACTTATGATAAGTTTAAAAATACATTTATCCTACTTATCTAATTAATTAAGCTATAATTTATTTATTTTTCTGAAACTAATACACGCTGTGTATCTAGAGAGATAATACATACATACATACATAATTTTAAATTTAAATCCGTCGTCATTATAACTTATGAATAGAAAACACGGTAGCTTTTATTTTTCTTAAATTGACATATACTTTGTAAAATTATATATATTTCTTTAATGAGAGAACCGGATGGTTATAAGGAGTTGTATTATTTTTTAATTAATGTTCAGTTTCGTGTATATTGGTTAATGTCACACTAGAATTTTACGTAAGTTATAAATTAATTATAATAGTCATAAACATATATAAACGTTAGAAACAATCAGTTTTAATTATTCAAGTACATATGATGAAAATACCAATTACATTTCAGTGGAATAGGCATGAGATTTTATTAAAGTAGAAAAAAATAAAATAAGTTGTAGTATTCCGGTGATTAAATATTGAAAGCTAATAATTAACAAAAGTGTAGAATATGATCTTTTATGGGAAATTGAATAGATTTGTCTGGCTAGTTATCTCTGGGAAGCTCTTGGTTTAACGAGAATACTCATATAGATAATGGTATTATATGATATGGTCAAGTGTAGTGTCGCCACGTACTACATGGGACGTAGTGTCCTCGATTTAGTTACAGGGTGACAAATCCAAGTGGTTCCAAGCCTGTTCTGCTCAAATGGGACAAAAAAATCCAATGTCTTTTATGATATTTCTCACTTAATTAATATATAACTTGAGTTTTGTTGATGAGGTTATGTCGGCTTATCTTATTAATTCAGAACAATGTTATCTACTCTCACAAATCCCCTTTTTAATACTTTCTACTACCGGTTAATAGTCACAAATTTTTATCCATCATATCTGTAAATCAAGAGATATTTATTAACTGTGATACAAAATCCACACACTATACCACAAATAATTTTTTTAGCAATATTTGAAAAATATATTATTTAATTATGTATAAATATTACTAATTTACTTTTAACAATATATATTATCAAATATTGTATATAGTTTATGTTATTAAAGACTTTTAATAATATTTTTATATAATTAGACAATATTTTTAAATGTTAGTAAAATAATATTTTTGTAACATTTTAATAATATTTTTAATATTTTGTTAATTCTATAAAATGATAATTAATTTTAATTTAGATATATTACTATCAATTATTATATTTTTATGTCTTTTAAATTCTTAAGAGTTCTTTGAAAGAAGATTCAAAACATTCTTAATTATTTTTTAGGAGAAGACATTCTTAATCAGTTACCACTAATTATATATACAATATCAAACATTGTGTAGCTTTCTCTAACCCTCTCCTTGTTTACATGTTGATATTATAAATTATTAATATTATGAGTTTTAATTAAAAAAATTACTTTTTAATTAAATATATAAACATAATATTATTTATTATAATAATTTTAAAATTATAAGTTATTCAATTT